AGTCGATGCTTATCAATCGGCATATCCAATTTCGACCACCCAGATGACTAGATTGAGGCTTTAACGTCCGGGCAACCTCTCGCTCGTCGTTGGACATGACACTTGGTTGCCCTCAGCCTCCCCACTATCAACGACCCTTCCCATCTACTAGTGATTTGCGCGTGCCTATGCGCGCGAGAAATAGCCGAAAATCTATCTGGGAAATGGCACAATGCTGACAAATAACAAATATTATAGGTGCCTAACTAAAATTGAGTCACCTAACTGACAGCTGTAATTATCAACGATGATGAGATACTGTTTTCTTAGAAACAAACGATGAAGAACACAACAGCGAGCATATATTATACGAAACATGGAGTTTGCCGTGCTAGCTGTCTTACATAATCCTTGCAAGCTTTTTAACATTTCTAAATTGCTTCCGACTGGTAGGCACTCTCTTAATATGCTACAGGTAAACAAACTTTCTCTCATCATTGCCTTCTCTAATTCGCATTATCCAAACCAGGAGAAGCGAAGAGTATTACAGCTCTAGTGCAATAATGCATAGATAAGTTTGCAAAAGATGGAAAATATGACATGCCAATTCGCAAGAGAATAGGTATCGTTGGTACAGCATACAAGATTGTACCTCCCCACATTGCTGGGTCCAAGAGGAAAGCCTTCAAAGCACATTTCGGACACAAGAGTGCAGCCATATCAATGTATCTGCAACCAAATCAGTCCAAGATTCACAAAGACAGTCACTTGCGTGTTTCCAATGAAATGATCCGAGAATGACAACCCATAGAGTAGGGCCGTGCCATACAAACCGGTTTAAAACTGAATCATGTATCTGTTTTGTCTTTTAGGTGTAATTTCATAGAGGTCAATGTGGATGCTTAATTCACTTGCTGGACATCTGAGAGCTCCTTCAGTGTCAGAAGTGAGCCCAATTTTTTGAACCCATGAAGGCATAATATTTTAGACCTGAAAATTCAAAGTGTTATAGTTGATAGGGAATAGACAGTACAAACTAAAATGAGTAACCACACAAGGACCCAACTATCATTCAGATCTGATCATAGAAAAAAGGAAAAGAAACAGTCAATATAAGGTAATAACGGTTGCGGGGAATTTTTTCTTAGCATGACGAAACAAAAATGCACTTGTTGTCCTGAAAACATTTTGTACAAATCTCATGGCAAGGAATGCAAACGCTGCAATATGTCCCTAGCAAACAGTGCATATGCTGTTCAGTGTTGTGAAAACATAAATTAATAGCGACTGATCTTTTTTCTTATATAGGAAGCTGAAAAAGGAAATATCAACATCTAATAAGATCAACATTCATGTCCAAGTTTCAGGACAAACTGTAAATCAAACGCCATAAGAACAAGATAATCCTGAGTCCTGACTTTGACTATCAAACCAGTACAAGAGGGTTTGAACTTAGTTGACACAAATAAAAAAGACTCATGTGGACTGCAAAGCAGTTTAGATTAATAGCGGTGTAAAAGGAAAGAGCAGCACATAGGCATGTGCTACAGGTAGTGGTACACCTGTTTTGTTTTGCAGGAAGCATGACCTTGTTCTTGAGTTGGGGAGAATGTGTTGCCTTTTTAATATCCTGGCTTCAATTGCTACAAACCGACACAGACAGAAAAGAAACGCCTTTCCCCGTTTGGTAAAGTTGAACATAGGCAACTTACTCTTGTAAAAAAAAACACGAGAAAGCAGCACATCAAATATAGAGGAAGACTGGCAAAAGTACCTAAAAGTAGGGAGTCTTTATTCGGCTAGGAAATTTAAACCCAATGAATTCAGTAATCTCTGTAAACTAAAAAAAAAACGCCATCGTAGTTAACAAACTATCTAGCTTCCTGGCAACCAGGCAGAGGAGAGGAAGGAGACTGGGTAATTACTATCTAGCTTCCTGGCTCCTAAGCTTGCCTCCCGTCTGTTCTCAAGAGTGATATATACAAACTACAAAGCAAAAATAAGAGCCGTACCAGGCAGTGGAGGTGAGCAGTGCCTTTGCAGGCTACCTGTGCAGCAATGCAATGGCCAATGCCCTGTCAAATATAAAATCTTGGCTGCCAAGGTTGCTAATCGCCACATTTGCTCCATTCTTGGCAAGTCACGACGGCAAGAGCCCAATCAAATGAATGAAGCTGTGACTCGCGCCATGGCTTGACCGGTCATGATACCTTGCTGCACCATGGTGTTTCATGGCATTACATCAAACACCTAACTGACATGACCCACGAGTGGAAGAGGCATGCTTGCGATGCTATTGGCTTCGCCGGGATGGTGGTGGTAGAGGTGATGCTGAGGAAGGCGGCGAAAGACACAGGCAGCGAACGGGAAGAAACAGGCGGCGTCTTTGGCGCAAATAGGAGGGAAGACAAAAACATCATAGAGAATTAGAGATCAATGAACATGAGGAAGGAGATCGCCGCTCAGAAGCGGAGCCAAGAAGAGCAACAATGGCGCGATGGGAATCGACGGCCGCAGCCCCCCGCTGCTACCTCAAGTTCGCTCGACGTTGTCGCCCGTGACGGCGTTGAGTCCACCGCCCGAAGCGCCGTGGCGCCGGGGAGCAACCCTTCAGCGCCGGTGGAGCCGCCGTCGGCGCCGAGGGCCCATCGAGCAGCGCCCTTGCGGGAGCAGCAGCAGCGGGGCCACCTCGCCGCCAGTGGCGGTGGCGAGGGCACCTCGCCTCGCAATGTCTGGGGGCGAGGGCCACGGCTGGCGCGCGCCCGGCGGATCGCCCGCCATGGTCGGGGGCGGTGCCACCTCGCCCAGCTGCGCCCGCCGCCATGGCTGCCTCGCGCAATGAGGAAGGAGATCGCTTCGCTGTGGCGGAGCCAAGAAGAGCAACAATGGCGCGATGGGAATCGACGGCCGCAGCCTCATTGGTACCTCAAGTTCGCTCGACGTTGTAGCCCGCATGACGGCGTTGAGTCCACCCCCCGGCGGTGGTGGCCGGGGAGCAGCCGCTTCGCGCCGGTGGAGCAGCCGTGCTCGAGGGGCCCATCGAGCCGCGCCCTTGTCGGGAGCAGCAGCGCTGGGGCCACCTCGCCGCCAGCGCTGGTGGCCGAGGGCACCTCGCCCTGCCATGTCTGGGGGCGGGGGCCACTGGCGGCGCGCCGCGCCTGGGCGGATCTCGCCCGCCATGGTCGGGGCAGTGCCACTGCCGCCCAAGCTGCGCCCCGCCATGGCTGCCTCGCGCGATGAGCCGTCGGCACTGGGAGAGGAGCGAGAGGGAGGAGAAGTGGATTTGGAATGTGGAGCTAGGGTTTCAGCCGGCATATATTTGGCATGAGAAGAGCAGCAGCATCGTTGGATTGAGGATCTGACGCTCAGAAAAATTTTGAACGACGTGGCCACCCTGAGACCGCGCCGTGGCCACAACAAATTTACTCTTTAGATGTACCTTCACATGCGCCTAACGGATCACACCACCTCACTGCCCCGTTCTCAAGCTGCCACAGTTCCTGGTCCTCCTTTCCTCAGAGTCTCATCTCTTAAGCCTTAAAGACTCCTATTGTACTATCAAAAACACCCTAGGACCCCAATTTAATAACATCATTGGCTATAGTGGCGAAGACAGGGAGCTGAAGGGGGCGGACACCTCTCAACTTTCATATATTCAAATACAGCCCTTATGATCTAGCTAATTTACTATGTAATTAAAGGGTAAATGACTCCCATATTCATCTGCCCCACTAAATTAAATCTAGCTACTAGCTTTGCCACCAGTTGTATATATGTTCTCCTTCAGCCTAATAAAAACTACGAATGTTTTAGGCGTCCAAAGAATAGGTTGTGTGAATTTTATTTGTTGCACTTTCCTTGTTTTTTCTTGATGAGTAGTGGTAGTATGTGGCTATGTAGGCACACCCACATTAAACATTCTCCTCTCTTGGCGGCGAGGATGAGATGTTGTATATACTCGCTCTATCCAAAAGGAATGCAACTATGAATTGTGTGTCAGTAAAAGTGTTTCATGTTTGACCAAGTCTCTAGTTAATGACATTCACATTTATAGCTTCAAATCAATTTATTATGAAAGTACATTTTGTAATTAATCTAAAGATATTTATTTGATATCATAAATATTGATACTTTTTAAATCTATATAATTGATCAAAATTAATAAGATACCGAAACATGACACTGTGTTAGAATTATATTCCTTCTAGGACGGAGAGAGTAAGGTGGGAGGAAGACTAAGTGGAGGAAGGAAGAACCTAATAACACAACAAAACATGAAGCCCATCTTCTAACACAACCCATTAAAAATGTGTGAAAAAGGCTTGAAGATATATAGAAATATAAACTGCTATCATCAAACCCTTAGGAGCGGATGGAGTTGCTGGAAAAAAATTACTAGGGCACCGTTTGGATGCTGAAATTTTTGGCGAAATGCTACTGTAGCATTTTCGTTATTATTTAGCAAATAGTGTCTAATCATAGTCTAATTAGACTTAAAAGATTCGTCTCGTGGATTTCGTCTAAACTGTGTAATTAGTTTTATTTTTTATTTATATTTAATGCTTCATGCATGCGTCTAAAAATTCGATGTGACGAAAATTTTTAAAAAATTTAACATTTTGGAATGAAACTAGACAGGCCTGGGACGAGGAGGAAAGGGAAAAAGACGGAGTTTAAGGGCCCTTGAAATTTCCGATGTAGGTGGGGTAAGCCAATGTTTTTTTTTTTTTGATAAAAAAGCGATGGATGGGCCGCCTGTTTCAGTGTTCCCAGACAGGGGCCTGCCTGAGAGACTTTTGTGATGGGTGAGGAGAGGGGGGAGGGAGAGAGACGGGAGTGAAGTGGAGTGTGGAGAGCAGCAGAGCAGAAAGCAGGGCAGGCAGGCAGGTAGCACCGCAGCAGCAGGCAGGGTGCATCCCGTGCCGTCCCCTTCCCTTCCCTTCCATCCCCCCACCCCCATTCCGTTCGAATCGATTCGATCCCCAACCCCATACCCAAACCCTAACCCTACCACCGCCACCATGTCCGCCCGCATCGACCTCAACAACACCGCCGGATCCGCCTCCGCCTCCCAAACCCTGGCGCCAGCGCCACCCAAGCGCGGCCGCGGCCGCCCCCGCAAGAACCCCCCGCCTCCCGCTCACCCGCGCCCTCCGGATCCCGACACCCCCATGGTCGGCGGCTTCGCTCCGGGCGACATGGTCTGGGGAAAGAAGCTAAACCACGCCGCCTGGCCGGGCCTCATCTACTCCGCCGGAGGGAACGGCACCGGCCACGAGGGCCAGCTCCTCGTCTCCTACTTCGGCGACAAGGCCTTCGCCTGGTGCGACGCCGCCGAGCTCAGGCCCTACGAGCCCTACTTCCCCGTCGCCGAGCTATACGACGGCAGCGGCGAGGACTTCGACGCCGCCGTCGAGGCCTCCCTCGACGAGTTCTCCCGCCGCGTCGAGGCCGCCCTCGCCTCCGCCGCCCGCCCCTTTGCCCCCGCCGATTTCCTCGCCTCGCTCCACGATCTCGCCGCGGATCGCATGGGCTTCACCAACAGGGTGCAGGCCGCCGTCGCCAAGGCGCATCTCAGAGCCTTCGACGCCTTCAGGGCTCTGCCGGACCCACCTCAGTACACCTTGGAGCTCGGTCTACTCCCACACATCCCGCTCCCGCCGCCCAATCCTAAGGCTGCCGCGGATGCCGACACCACCCCCGCTTCCAGGAGGGGCAGGAAGAGGAAGGAGGAACTCGTCAAGGACTACGACTCCGATGAGGACTGGGACCCCAGGAAGAGGGGTGCCACCGACTCTGATTCCGATGTGGGTTTCGACCGCAGGAGAGGATCCAGGGGCAGGGGCAGTGGCAGCGGCGGTGGCAGTGGCGCGCCCCGTGGCAGGCCTCGAGGAAGGCCCAGGAAAACAGATGCCTGCAGGGACCCTGCACCACCGCTCAAGGACGACGACGACGGCATTCAAGACAAACTTGAGTATCCATCGGCTGCTGAGATGTTGCTGCAGCTTTTGTCAGTCGCCGCTGATCCTGTAAATGGCAATTATGACTCTGCTCCTGTGATTGTTAGCTTCTTCTCAAAGCACAAGGACTCCGAGGCGCCTAGTGTATATGAAGATAAAGAGTTGCTTGAGACTTTTGGTTGCAAGAAGGGTAGGAAAAAGTCCATTGTAAGCTTGGGCCCAGCTACAAAGTCAGAAGCCGGCGATGATAAGGATCAGTTCATGTCTGCGGATGGTCAGAGGGGCCGGAGGAAGTCCGCTGGGAGCTTGTACTCAGCTAGAAAGGCTGAAGATTCATATTGGTGTGATATCATCATCAGCGATTTCGACGACGGAGATAGTGACTATGAAGGTCGCAAGAGGAAGCGGCCCTCTCAGAATACTAACAGGAGTGTCAATAAGAAGATGAAGTAGGAGGAGCAGCTACCTCAAGGAGCCCCATCGGATGTGAAAAATGGGGCTCCTACATATCCTTCATCTTAAATGCTGCATTCTGGACTGGATATGCTGTGATTCAGAGGTACACATTCTTTGATTGTCCCCAACTAAAGTTCCGTATTCATTTGCTTATAAAATTTTCATATGGTGAATTCAGGAAATGCACCATGAAGTTTGGAGCAACGGAGCATAAGTTGGTGTCACTGACTTAGAGTTAGGATGGCTCACTGACCGGGTCACATTAGTCACTGAGTTGAGTGAGCAAATTTTAGGCTTTCTGTGGTTATATGCATCCAGACGACTGGTTCTGTACTTGGTACGGGAGTTAGCTTATGTTAAATCATTAGATTGTAGAGTAGATTCTGTACCGTGATGCGCTTCCCTTTATGTTAGCAACCTATCTTTTTTGTATTGCCTAGTAATTGCACAGCTGTGGATCTCTCTATTATGTTGTGCTTTTTCAGCGTATGCTTCCCTTTTTAGCTCCAGTTCACTTCAACTCCTATAGAATGCAGTGCTCTCGTGCTTTATCAGCAGCAACTGTTTATTTGATTGTCGCGATGCTATTGAAGCAGCAACTCCTATGAAGCTCACAAGAGCATGCACTTCAACTCCTATAAAACGAGCCATGATGGGCGAGCTGAAGCCATGATGCTGTCCATGGTCATATCTGATACGTGAGGAAGTGCATGCTCTTGTGTACTGTGCTGTGCTTTACAAAATATGGTGTCCATTCAGATTTTGCTAAAAGAAGATAATAGTGCTAATGACCCTGTTCGCTCGTCTGAAACTTGGCTGAAAAACACTGTTCCGACTGATTTGTTGTGAGAGAAAAACACTGTTCAGCTCATTTGGTAAACAGTAACTTAAGAGGAAAGCAGCCGGCTGGCTGGTTTGAACCAGACCAGCGAACGGCCCCAGTTGTGCCACCATGGGGAGAGCTGTGAATCTACTGTTCAATTTTTTTAGTGTATATGCTCCACTTGGGGGTGATTGCTTGCTATGCATTTTGTGACGTCGGGACCTGTTTCTATGCTTATCAGTTTTGCTGCCTTCTACATGTGCATTCAGATCGTTGCTTGACGTAAATTCAGCGGGTATGATTTGGGGCGTGCTTGGATGGTGTCTACAACCTTAGAACGCTACTCCCTTTATCATGTAATATATCGTGTTCTGGCCTTTGAAATTTACCCTCAAATATAAGCGATTTGGGAAACAAAAAAATAAGCTTTACTAAATAGAAATACTTGCAGCCTGTTCGGCAGTTCGTATTTGGCTTATAAGCCTTGGCTTATCAGGCAACGAACAATATTTTTCTCTCACACCAAACTAGCCAGTAGTACTTTTAGCCATAGCTTATAAGTCAATCCAGCCGAAACGAACAAGCTGACTTACCATATTTTTGTATAAGGGAAATGGAATCAAAGTTCAATAAATTAGGAAGTTGAGTGAGGCTACATGCGTTGTCTGAGGATAACTAGAATGGACAGGACGGACTAGGGGTGTCCGTCAGTGTCACACTTTCTAGTTGTTTCGTTTGCCACAAAGTTTATATGCCCTACGTGTCTTTACGCGTGCGTTTGATGGGCAAAAAGAGCTCGAGGTTAGTGAGCCGGCTTGGTTCGGTTCGTTCATATGTTCAGACAAAACGAACTGAGTCTCCTCCATCTTAGCTTGTTTTTTCTTTGATTAACGAGCTACTCTTGGGCCAAACGAGCCCTCAGCTGGCCATTGTGGAAAATTTTCACACGAACAATGCATGAACAGGAAAAATTCCCATGTTCCAACAAACAATGAACGCAAACTTGTTTAGTACCCCCCCCAAAAAAAAAAGCAACGTAAAGAATTTTGTCAACACGGGAAGCAATTAATAGGAATGGACAAGGTATTTCAAGGTATTTTCACTAGTCACAACACATAAAGAATTAATCACTATATTTCTTTCCTTTTCTGTGGATCACACCATACCATTGGTGTGGGGTTGGGAAGGCGTTTTGTTTTGAATAAAAAAAAAAGAATACAAGTAATTATTCGCACTGCTGTTGTATGTGCTCACAAAACTATAGCTGATATATCCAAGAAAGAGTACTAGGCTTGCTTCGTCCTATTGCTGCCGATTTCATTGCTTGGTTCGCTTCTTAGCTTCACTGTAAAGAAGCACCCCTATGACAGTCAGCGTGTAGCCCAGCATCCCAGTTATAGACACCGGGTTCCTGAATATCAAGATGGAGATCACAACTGCAACCGCTCCTTTTGCGTTGCCCAGGACCTGCAGCCAAGCGCAGTCAGGTCAGACATGAGGAGAACTATGCTCGCTCTCAGCATCAACGTGTCATGTGTTTCCTAACTGACTAGGAATCCAGGGCAGGGCAGGAAGCATGGCATACCTGTAGGGTTAATGCACTGGTATGCTTTGTCACCAGGAAGTTGGTCAGATTCACGAAGTAGGCCAAGGAAGAGTTGAAGAGCAGGTACCAAATTATGTTGATGTCCTTCTTGGCCAGCTGTATCGTAATGGCAATAACATTATCCTCCATGAAGATAGTTGCAGGGACCAAGAGAAGAACAGCGATTGGCGCCATGTACATGAGCAGGTTCATGGAATTAATCTTCTCCCTGCGAGTTGACAAACGGAACAGAGCTAGCTTCAGTTTCAATACACGCACAGGTTTGGAAGAGGCAAACAGGCAATCTGTGATCCCCGACATTACCCATCAGAAGACATAAGAATCCCTTGCAAGACCGTCTTGAGTGCCCTCGCAGCAGTTGCTCCAACACACATGATGAACCCAAACAGATTAAAGCTGGGCTCGCCCTGCAAGAATTTGAATAGGAGTACTTGCTTAATCAAGAGGATGGCCCACTCAGCTCAAAGCTTGCTTCAATTTATTTAGTTTTATTTGGAGACCAACTTCACCCTTAGAGTTCATCATCAATCAAAGGTGAAGAGTTTTGTTAGATCAGTAGTATATCAAACATAACTCATGAGTGATCGATTAATAAGAAGATTGTCCTTCATGAATAATGGCAATGGCAAAAAGGAGAATCAAGAATGCTCTATAGTGTCCACGCGGCTGCCTATACAAGTACAACTACAGTGTGCCCCTTTATTTTGCATGTCATTATTGAATTGATGAAAAGAAGGGAAAAAAAAGACCTGCGAAGATTGAGGTGCGTGGCTACAATAACAATCCTGGTGAATATTCTCAGTACTACCAGAACTACTTAGAATCCAATCCAATTGGGAATGCTAAATGCTGAATAATGAGATCCGCACGCGGCGAGATCTATAAGCACAGATCCGTGTGCCAGGAATTGGGGATCTCGCCACCCCCCACACCCCTCGCGCGCAAAGGGATGATATATGCACAGGGAGGGGAGATATGGAGGTCGGAAACGGAACTTACGCCGCTGGCGATGATGACACCGGTGACGACGGGCACGAGCGCGAGGTAGGTGAGGAAGGACTCGCGCTTGACGGTCATGAGGTAGGCGAAGACGGCGGTGAAGAAGGGGGTGGTGGCGCCGACAGCCTGGTTGAAGGAGACGGGCAGGTAGCGGAGGGAGATGTTGCCTGAGACGACGGAGGCGCAGAAGATGAGGCTGAGCGCGGCGATCTTGGCGAGCTGGAGGCGGGAGCGCGGGAGCTGCATGGGGACGATGCGGAGCCAGGCGATGGCGGCGTAGGAGAAGAGGGAGCAGGCAGACATGTGGCACATGGTGAGGAAGATGGGATACTTGAAGCCGTAGTTGCTGAGCAGGTACTTGTTTAGCAGCAGAACCCCGATGTTGGACGAGTACCACGCCGTGACAAGGCCCACCGTGAAGAGGCGGCCCTTGCCGCCGCCGGCGGCATCCTTGCCCGTCATCCCCTTCCCCTCCCTTACCTCTGGGTGTGGGTGGACGATGGGGACCGGGTTCTGGTAGGAATTGTTGGTATTGGGTCGCCGGGCGGGGAGGGAAAAGAAGCCGGGGGGGGGGGGGGGACGTATGCTTTCATTTTTTTTCTTTACCTTTTGGGACGTCGGATGGATCGGATCGGACGGACGATACCAGTGTTAGTGGATGCAATGCAAGTGACCATCTTCTCCTCGCTCCTTACTCTTTTTTACTTTATATACATACTATTATTAATTTTATTAAAAAATAGCATGTTTTTTTTGGCTCATTGTCACTACAATTCCTCACGACTCATTAGCACGGATCAAGGGATCATGGTTGTTTTTTTTTCTCGTGTATGTTGTTCGTGGATGTTTCTCCTTATTTATTAGTGCTCTTTTTCTCGACTCCTTCACCCTGTTCGCTTGATCGTTTCTGTGGTTTATAAGCCGACTGATGCTGTTTTGTTGTGAGAGAAAAAATACTGTATCATAGCTGATAAACATGGCTGATATGATCAAGCGAACAGGGTGCTTGTTTTATACCTATGGGTGTATGACCCAACAATGTATAAAGTCTGGCCTCCTCCATTTTTAGTCTCCCAGGTATTAGTGAAAAATTATTCAATACTACTATCCTCCCACTCTCGATGACATCTAAAAATTCTCATTAGTACGAAACAATAAATAAACATTTTGGTCGGTTTGTTAAATTAGATTGACATCCATTGTCAATTCACCAAAACTCATGAGATGAGACGAACCACCTTAAGGCTCCGTTTGGTATGGCTTTAGCTCCTCCTAAAAAGAGCTTTGGCTATGGCTCTTCATGTGGACCAGCTTCTCTAGTGCACCTAGAGACGTTTTGAAAAAACTTTGGCAAAAACGACTCTAGTGGTAGGTTTATAATAATTTGTATTAGGTTTATGAAGAGGAGCTAGGAGACACCACTATTTTCGTTTTTGGCTCCTCTATACAAAAGCGGTTTCGGTTCCTGTAGGCTCTTTCCAAGAATCTATTTTTTTATGTCTAGAGCCGAAAACCTGTCAAACGAGGCCTCGTGATTTCCCATTTCACAGACCAAATAACCCACCCTAG